CAAAATCGGTGCATTCGAAACAGGAAGTTTCAATATATCTTTGCTTCAGGGAAGAAGAAGCAATTAAGCTTGATGGGCTGTCTGTATCTGAAATGAAAAGAATGAGAGAGCAAGCAGAGAAACATGAATTTCAGGCAGAAGTTAATCGCATGATGAAGCTTATTATTAACTCCTTATACAGGTTCAAATATCATAAATAATTTTCTGCGAATTGAGACCGTTTTTAAAGCACTCAAATTATGCATTTCCATGTTTAGGAACAAAGAAATTTTCTTACGAGAACTAATTTCAAATGGTTCCGATGCTCTTGATAAAATTCGTCTTATATCTCTTACTGATCCTGATGCGCTTTCTGCAACTGATGATCTTTCTATCCGTATTAAAGTAAGCCAGTTAAATGACGTGTCATTTTTGACTTGGAAGTAGGTAGTTCAAATTCATTTTTATTACATATTTTAGGCAGACCGTGAGAATCACGTTTTACACGTCACTGATACTGGTGTCGGTATGACAAAGACAGATTTAATCAACAATCTGGGCACAATTGCCAGGTCAGGAACGTCAGAATTCCTTGCTAAATTATTAGATAGTTCTACTACTGCTGAACAGCAGCAAGATATGATTGGACAGTTTGGTGTCGGTTTTTACTCAGCTTTCCTTGTGGCCGATCGCGTTGTAGTTACCACTAAACATAATGACGATGATCAATATATTTGGGAATCAGATTCCTCATCGTAGGTTTTTTACTGTTTGCTTTAAAATATTTCTGGTATTATTATGATCTTTTTTTAAATTCTTACTTTTCATTTTTTAGCTTCTCTATAGTGAAGGACCCACGTGGACCAACGTTGAAGCGTGGCACCCAAGTTACCCTTCACCTTAAGGAAGAGGCTTATGATTTCTTAGAACCTGATACTTTAAAGGAACTCGTTCATAAGTACAGTCAGTTTATCAACTTCAGCATATATCTCTGGCAGTCGAAGGTTCGCCAGTTTCAAATTCCTTTACCTATTTCCCTTTTGAAAAACAGTTGTATCGTAGTAGGCTACTTTCGTAACGACTGAACTGTAGCTCTACAGTTTCTAGTATACCACATTATAGACGGAAACCGTAGAAGAAGAGGAGGAAGAAACTACAACGGAGAAGGCTAAGGGAGAAGAAGAAGACGAAGATGGTAAGGTTGAGGAGGAGAAGAAGGTTAAGAAAGTGGAAAAGACAATTTGGGATTGGGAGAAGGTTAATAACGTGAAACCGATCTGGATGAGGAAGAGTGGAGACGTTGAGCCAGACGAATATGATGAGTTTTACAAAAGCATTACTAAGGTATAGTTTTTCATATTGGATATCTAATTAAATGTTATTACGACTATGAGTTAATTAATTAGTGTAGGTGTTTTGAAAGTAACTAAAAAAATTTCTTTCCTAAATACGTTAGCGGTTTTAGGATACTGAAAAGCCGCTTGCACATGTTCATTTCACAGCTGAGGGCGAAGTTTCATTCAAGTCAATTTTGTATGTTCCGAAACGAGGCCCCCATGATATGTTCCAGAATTATGGGAAAGTGAGCATTTTTACAATTGGTTTTACGGAAAGTAATAAATCTTTTGGACAGGTGGATTTCTGTACGTTTTAAGCTTTTGATTTGTACGTTTTTAAGGTTAAAGAAAACATCAAATTGTATGTGCGGCGAGTTTTCATAACAGACGATTTCAATGATATGATGCCAAAATATCTTGCCTTTATTCGTGGTATAGTGGATTCGGACGATTTGCCTTTGAATGTATCACGAGAAACTCTTCAACAGCACAAATTGTTAAAGGTGCAGACGAATTTTTTGAAATGTGCCGTAATGGCATGTTGATCAATTATTGTAATGCGCAGCCTTCTAGTGAATAATCAAGTGCTTTCTTTTTAAGGTTATAAAAAAGAAGCTGGTTAGGAAAGTGTTAGACATGTTGAAGAAGATGGATCCAAGTGATTACGAAGAATTCTGGAAAGAGTTTAGCACTAACATAAAGCTCGGCATTATGGAAGACCCAACAAATCGCGTCCGCCTTTCCAAGTTGTTGCGATTCCACTCCTCCAATGACAAGGTTCGGTCTTTAAAAAATTGCCTTTTAAAGTTGTAAATTATTGTTCACTTTTAATGTGGCTGTTTTTTTTTTTTTTTTTTTTTTTT